CGGGGCATAGAGTTGGATTACCATGATATTGAATGGTTTGCCTTGGAAACAGAGATCATTCTGCCATTTTTGAGATTGCATCCAAGTACTGCATTTCAGACTCTTTTGTTGACTATGATGGCTACTCCATTTCTTCTAAGGGATTCCTGCCCACAGTAGTAGATATAATGGTCATCTGAGTTAAATTCACCCATTCCACAAATTAGTACAGCCACTATGGAAAACAGTGTGGAGATTTCTTAAAAAGCTGGAAATAGAACTGCCATATGACCCAGCAATCCCACTTCTGGGCATACACACCGAGGAAACCAGATCTGAAAGAGACACGTGTACCCCAATGTTCATCGCAGCACTGTTTATAATAGCCAGGACATGGAAGCAACCTAGATGCCCATCAGCAGATGAATGGATGAGGAAGCTGTGGTACATATACACCATGGAATATTACTCAGCCATTAAAAAGAATTCATTTGAATCAGTTCTAATGAGATGGATGAAACTGGAGCCCATTATACAGAGCGAAGTAAGCCTGAAAGATAAAGACCATTACAGTATACTAACACATATATATGGAATTTAGAAAGATGGTAACGATAACCCTATGTGCAAAACAGAAAAAGAGACTCCTATGTATAGAACAGACTTGTGGACTCTGGGAGAAGGCGAGGGTGGGATGTTTCAAGAGAACAGCATTGAAACACGTATATTATCTAGGGTGAAACAGTTCACCAGCCCAGGTTGGGTGCATGAGACAAGTGCTCGGGCCTGGTGCACTGGGAAGACCCAGAGGGATTGGGTGGAGAGGGAGGTGGGAGGGGGGACCGGGATGGGGAATACATGTAAAAAAAAAAAAAAAAAAGATACACTATGGTTGTGATAAAAAAAATAAATAAATAAATAAATAAATTAAGAAAAAAAAAAAAATTCACCCATTCCAGTCCATTTTAGTTTGCTAATTCCTAGAATGTCGACGTTCACTCTTGCCATCTCCTGTTTGACCACTTCCAATTTGCCTTGATTCATGGACGTAACATTCCAGGTTCCTATGGAATATTGCTCTTTACAGCATTGGACCCTGCTTCTATCACCAGTCACATCCACAATTGGGTGTTGTTTTTGCTTTGGCTCCATCCCTTCATTCTTGCTGGAGTTATTTCTCCACTGATCTCCAGTAGCATATCTCCAGTAGACAACATTATCTTTGATCTATTTTGCAGATATGGAAACCCCCTCCAGGAGGGAGAAGTTAGTGATTAACAATGGTATGCTGCCCACAGGGATAGGGAAACAGGATTTAACAGGTCTATGAAGACCTAAAAGACTTTCTAGAACTAACACCAAAAAAAGATGCCCTTTTCACCATAAGGGACTGGAATGTAAAAGTATGAAGTCAAGAGATAACTGGAGTAAAGGCAAGTTTGGCCTTGGAGTACAGAATGAAGCAGGGCAGAGGCTAGTAGAGTTTTGCCAATAGAACGCATTGGTCATAGCAAACACCCTCTTCCAACAACACAAGAGAAGACTCTACACATGGACATCACCAGATGGCCAATACTGAAATCAGATTGATTGCAAGTCATCTTTGCAGCCAAAGATGGAGAAGCTCTAAACAGTCAGCAAAAACAAGACAAGGAGCTCACTGTGGCTCAGATCATGAACTCCTTATTGCCAAATTCAGATTTAAATTGAAGAAAGTGGGAAAACCACTAGACCATTCAGGTATGCCCTAAATCAAATCTGTTATGATTATGCAGTGGAAGTGACAAATAGATTCAAGGGATGAGATCTGATAGACAGGGTACCTGAAGAAATATGGACAGAGGTTTGTGGCATTGTACAGAAGGCAATGATAAAAGCCATCCCCAAGAAAAAGAAAGGCAAAAAGCCAAAATGGTTGTCTAGGAGGCCTTACAAATAGCTGAGAAAAGAGAAGTGAAAGGCAAAGGAGAAAAGGAAAGATATACCCATCTAAATGCAGAGTTTGAAAGAATAGCAAGGAGAAATAAGAAAGCCTTCCTCAGTGATCAGTGCAAAGAAATAGAGGAAAATAATAGGATGGGAAAGACTAGAGATCTCTTCAAGATGATTAGAGATACCAGGGGAACATTTCATGCAAAGATGGGCACAATTAAGGACAGAAATGGTATGGACCTAACAGAAGCAGAAAATTTTAAGAAGAGGTGGCAACAATACACAGAAGAACTATACAAAAAAGTGACCCAGATAACCATGATGGTGTGATCACTCACCTAGAGCCAGACATCCTGGAATGTGAGGTCAAGTGGGCCTTAAGAAGCATCACTACGAACAAAGCTAGTGGAGGTGATGAAATTCCACTTAAGCTATTTCAAGTCATAAAAGATGATGCTGATAAAGTGCTGCACTCAATATGCCAGCAAATTTGGAAAACTCAGCAGTGGCCACAGGACTGGAAAAGGTCAGTTTTTATTCCAATGCCAAAGAATGTTCAAACTACCGCACAATTGCACTCACCTCATACACTAGCAAAATAATGCTGAAAATACTCCAAAGAAGGCTTCAACAGTACGTGAACTGAGAACTTCCAGTTGTTCAAGCTGGATTTAGAAAAGACAGAGGAACCAGAGATCAAGTTGCCAACATCCACTGGGTCATAGAAAAAGCAAGAGAAAACATCTGCTTCTGCTTTGTTGACTATGCAAAAGCCTTTGACTGTGTGGATCACCACAAACTGTGGAATATTCTTCAAGAGATGGGAATACCAGACCACCTTCCCTGCTTCCTGAGAAATCTGTATGCAGGTCAAGAAGCAACAATTAGAACTGGACATGGAGCATCGGACTGGTTCCAAATTGGGAAAGGAGTACATCAAGGCTGTATATTTTCACCCTGCTTATCTAACTTCTATGCAGAATACCTCATGCGAAATGCCAGGCTGGATGAAGCACAAGCTGGAATCAAGATTGCCAGGAGAAATATCAGTAACCTCAGATATGCAGATGACACCACCCTTATGGCAGAAAGCAAAGAAAAGCCTCTTGATCAAAGGGAAAGAGGAGAGTGGAAAAGCTGGAGAAAAAACTCAACATTCAGAAAACTAAGATCATGGCATCCGATCCCATCACTTCATGGCAAATAGATGGAGAAACAATGGAAACAGTGGCAGACTTTATTTTCCTGGGCTCCAAAATCACTGTGGATGGTGACTGCAGCCATGAAATGAAAAATACTTGCTCCTTGAAAGAAACGCTATGACCAACCTTGACAGCATATTGAAAAGCAGGGACATTACTTTGCCAACAAAGGTCCATTTAGTCAAGGCTATGGTTTTTCCAGTAGGCACAGATGTGAGAGTTGGACCATAAAGAAAGCTGATTGCTGAAGAATTGATGCTTTTGAACTGTGGTTTTGGAGAAGACTCTTGAGAGTCCCTTGGACTCCAAGGAGATCCAACCAGTCAATCCTAAAGGAAATAGTCCTGAATATTCATTGGAAGGACTGATGCTGAAGCTGAAGCGCCAATACTTTGGCCACCTGATGCATAGAGCTGACTCCTTAGACAAGACCCTGATGCTGGGAAAGACTGAAGGCAAGAAGAGAAGGGGATGACAGAGGATGAGATGGTTGGATGGCATCACTGACTTGATGGACATGAGCTTGAGCAAGCTCTGGGAGTTGGTGATGGACAGGGAAGCCTGGCGTGCGGCAGTCCATGGCGTCACAGAGTTGGACATGACTGAACAACTGAACTGAACTGATGCTGCCCACAAGCACATGGACCTCATACCAGTTTGACTTGAAGGTTGACCATGTGGACTCCTACTTACTTCACCACCAACCTATTAGAAGAATGTCCACGAGCTGATCATGCCCTCTTTAAACAGTGCCTAGAAAACTTGTCACTGTCTTCCCCAAGTTGGGGACACATGGTTTTGAGGGCATGAATCCTCTGTATCCCCCTTTACCTGGCGAAGAAAGAAAGCTACCCTTTCCAGTAGAAAAGGTAGAGTATTTGGGTGAAGTACCACCTAAAACTGTCTCTGAGATTTGATTCTGCCCCAGTTTACAGAGAAGCTGAGCTTTCAGCATTACAAAAAGTCCCTCAAAAAAACAACCCTGTCATAATGTCACCCGTGGCTTATACCAGTTTCACCTCCCTGCCCTGGCATGCGAAGAACTAAGCATGTACAGCAATTAGCATTTAATATTTGGTAATTAGCATGCTTAATGTAATTCAGAAAAGTTCCTTGACATTTTCACAAAATCAGAAAGCACATTCCCGCCCACTTTTCAAGGAGCCAGGCCCAGTTTGTCAAAAAAAAAAAAAAAACCCCACAAAACAAAAACCCTGTGTGCCAGTCTTTTTTGGTGCTGAATATGCATGTGTTGGCCTCTTCCGGGACACTGCTGGTAAATTTAGAAACTCGTTTAGAAAAGAACTCTTTCTCATTCAGCAGCCATACGCCCAAGGATCAGAGAATCTAAGGAGAAATGCCTAAATCGAGCTTAAGTCCTGGGGCTGTGATGGCTCTTCTGAAGTAAATAAAACCCTCGTTGTGCCCCCGACCAAGCACACTGCTTTGCTGAAGTCCAACACGGACCCAAATTTGCGTACGCGGTAAAGATGATACATTCTACTCTAGCTCCAGCGAAACAACGTAACTCTTCTTTACCACCCGGTCCAGTGTTTCCAGCCCAAAGGTTCAAGCCGGCAGCCCTGACTTCGCGATCGAACACGCCGCTCCGGGCCCGAGATGTCAGCTCAGGTTTCCCCTGCGGAGTCGGGTACCCCTCGCTCCCTCTAGGGCCAGTCTGTGCCTCCCCGAGCCCGGCCCCACGTGGCCCAGAGAAGCTGCCGCACTAGCCTGCTGCCGCAGACGGACGGCCCGCCTCAGCCACTGGACGCAGCGCTGCAGGTCGGAGACCAATGAGTGCGCTCGGACGCCGGAGGGGGCGGGGCCGCCGGGCCGCCGCGCACAGGCGCCGCCACTGGAGGGCTTGGGGCCCGCCCCTGGCAACAGGCCCCGCCCCGCCGGCCGGGTTAGGTTGCCGCGTGAGCGGCGGGCGGAGTTGGTCCCGTTGTGCTGCGGCTCCGCGCGGCCTGCAGTCCCGGGCCCGCGCCCCGCACCGCCCGCCCGCCCGCCCGCCATGGAGCTTGGCCCCGACGGCCCCGCCGCCCCCGGCCCCGCTGCCATCCGCGAGGGCTGGTTCCGCGAGACGTGCAGCCTGTGGCCCGGCCAGGCCCTGTCTCTGCAGGTGGAGCAGCTGCTACACCATCAGCGCTCGCGGTACCAGGATATCCTCGTCTTCCGCAGGTACCCGCGCCCGCCCGGCCCCGCGCCCCGGCCGCCCGGCCCCGCGCAGCCCGCCGGCACTCCAGCCCTGGGCTCGGCCCGGCCCGACCCTCTTCCTGCCTGACCCCTGTCTTGCGCGCTTTACCTCCGGACGCCCCCGGCCGTCTCTGCCCGCTCCTTCCCCGGCAAAACTGTCAGAAGTTCTCGTGAACTAGGCCCGTCTCTAACCTCCGTCCCCTCCCCAACCCGCATCCTTCTCGCTGGGCTGGGGACCGGCTTTTCGGGCGGTCCTCCTCGGCGGGGAGGGAGCCGGAATCTGCGCCGACCCGCTGCGCCGAGCTCCACGTGTCAGTCCCGGACACGTCAGAGCCGGGACCCCGCGTCCAGCCTCCACCCAGCGGGCCCGCCCGCCGATCCTCGCCACGTGTCACCCCCCGGACTCACCCCTGGAGCCCCCTCGGCAGGTTGGGAGAGATTCTTCTCACCCTGGGCGAGTGGGGGGCACGTTGCCCCCTTCCCGAGGAGCCCAGGTCGCTGACTGTCACTCCCGCCCTCAGTAAGAGCTACGGAAATGTGCTGGTGTTGGACGGCGTTATCCAGTGCACCGAGAGGGACGAGTTCTCCTACCAGGAGATGATCGCCAACCTGCCCCTCTGCAGCCACCCCAACCCACGCAAGGTACCCCATCCCAGCTAAATCCAGCCCTGGGCCCAGGGATAGCCCCCCAGAACAGTGCTGGGGGCCCCAGGAGTGTCCAGTGCTCAGCCCACCCCAAAGGGTTGTCAGAGAAGTGACAGCGGAGGCCGAGGGGCCTAGAGTGGGGGCTAACACCCGAGCTGAGGCCTGAAGCTTGAGATGGAGCAGCCTTGGCAGGAGTTCCCAGGAAAAGGGGACAACGTGGAATATGAAATGATTAGGTTTGTGACACAGGGGGCCTGAGAAATTGTTCCAGGGAGCTCTGTCTGCTCAGTGCGGTTTAGGGGGCAGAGAGGCCGGCCACTTAACTCCGCTGGAGCCTGTTTGGTTGGGCTCATGCCCCGCTCCTGGCTGACTCTTCCTCCACTTGGCAGGTGCTGATCATTGGGGGCGGGGATGGAGGCGTCCTGCGGGAGGTGGTCAAGCATTCCTCTGTGGAGTCCGTGGTCCAGTGCGAGATTGACGAGGTGAGCGCACAGCTGGGTGGGTCTGGGTTCGAGTCCCAGTTTGCCCTGAATTGACTGTTTACCTCCGGGCAAGTTGCTTAACCTTTCGTGAGCATTTAGGTGCCGGGTTCACTGGTGCATCGGCAGGTCTAGTCCCTGCCTCCTTGGAGTTGACATTCAACTTAGGAGTCAAAGGGTTATCTGATAAAGGTGTGTGTAGTAAGGCATACAGGCCAGATGGAATTCCAGCCCTCTGAAATAGCAAGGAAACCACTCTCCTGGGGCCGTTGGGTTTGGGGAGGGGGAGCAGGGGTGGTGGAGGTGTGGGCCAAGCTGCTGGTGGGAGTCAGCCCTCTGAGAAGGGGAGGTACCAAGCTGCTCCCTGCTGTACAGATATGCAAACTGAGGTTCCACAAAGGAATGGTTTGTCTAAGGTGAATCAGGCTCTGAGAAGGGGTCCCAGTCAACTCTGGCTCCGGGTTCCACAACCCCTGTGGCCTAACATGTTCCCTCCCGTCCCCTCCCCAGGATGTCATTCAAGTCTCCAAGAAGTTTCTGCCCAGCATGGCCATTGGCTACTCCAGCTCAAAGCTGACCCTACACGTGGGTGATGGTTTTGAGTTCATGAAACAGAACCAGGACGCCTTCGATGTCATCATCACTGACTCCTCAGATCCCATGGGTAAGCAGGGTTGGCCTGGAGCTTCTGGCAGCCACCAGAGGGGAGGCCAGTGTTCCCCTCTGTGTCCCAAGCCCGAGTTGCAGAATAGAGGATGGAGGGGCCCTCCAGAACTAGTGTGGCTCTTTTCCCTTCTAAGGTGTCACCTACCACCTCAAACATGGCTCAGCAGAGTAGGGGCACTAGGCTACTGCCCAGAGTTGGTTGAGAGCCTGGAGGAGAGTGGGGCCTTGGTCCACTGAGGCCCCAGTTTCCTCCTCAGCCTCCTCTCTGCCCCTGACAGGCCAGTGTCAGGGTGTGTGCAGGGATCTCATCTTTTTTCTTTTCTAACACTTATTTTTATTTGGCTGCGCTGGGTCTTAGTTGTAGTACGTGGGATCTAGTTCCCCAACTGGGGATCAAACCTGAGCCCCCTGCATTAGGAATGTAGAGTCTTAGTCACTGGACTACCAGGGAAGTTCCACAGGATATAGTCTTAAACCAAGGCCCAGGGTGGAGACTGCCCTGATGCAGTGCTGACAAGATCCCCCAGGAATGGAGTTAAAACATAGAGTCCCTTCACACTGGGGCACCGGATCCCTGCACCCCTCCAAAGCACCCTCTTCGTGGTTGGTTTCTGAGTTCCACAGGCCTGGCTTCAACTCCCAGCTCTGCCCCCCTGGTGGCTGTGTGGATGTGTATCTTGGGGTGAGAGTGGCCCTCATGCCCCCAGAGGCAGGCTCAGGCCGTGTCCCGTGGTGCTTGTCCCCCTGCCTCTGCAGGTCCTGCTGAGAGCCTCTTTAAGGAGTCCTACTACCAGCTCATGAAGACTGCTCTCAAGGAAGACGGCATTCTCTGCTGCCAGGGTGAGGGGGCTAGGGTGGACTGGGTCCTGCTGTGTGAGCCGGGAGGGATCCAGCTGGAGCTGGACCAGGCGCTGCCCCTAGCTGGTGCTGACATCATCTGACCACCCCGCCCCACCACCATAGGCGAGTGCCAATGGCTGCACCTGGACCTCATCAAGGAGATGCGGCACTTCTGCAAGTCTCTCTTCCCAGTGGTGGACTACGCCTACTGCACCATCCCCACCTACCCCAGCGGCCAGATTGGCTTCATGCTGTGCAGCAAGAACCCAGTGAGCCGCAGTGGACTGGCCCCCAGGGTGGGGTTGGGGGGGGGGGGGCGGGAGCCTGGCAGGGGGGCCAGGAGAGCACGTCTCTGAGACACACCCCTGTCTCCAGAGCACCAACTTCCGGGAGCCCTTGCAGCCACTGATGCAGAAGCAGGTAGAAGAGATGCAGCTGAAATACTACAACTCCGATGTGCACCGGGCAGCCTTCGTCCTGCCTGAGTTTGCCCGGAAGGTGAGCCACCCCCCCACACACCCCAAGGGGCAGGGGGTACCCAGGGCTCCCTGAAGGGCCATCTTGCCCACCCCCCCCCCCCAGCCCAGCCCCCTCCTGACGAGGCCTTGTGTCCTTCCAGGCCCTGAATGATGTGAGCTGAGCCAGGGTACTGCTGCTGACGCCGCCCATGACCTCGGACAGGGAGCCTGTGGGGCACCTGGGTCCCGACAGCCCCGGACAAGACCCCTGCTGGCTCGCCCACCAACTGACTGTTACATGGCCCCAGAATGCTGTCCGGCTGGCCCTGCCGGGTGGACTGTCTGTCTTCCTCTGGGTGGCGTTCAGCCACCAAACCTATACCAGCTGTGTACAGCATCTCCCCCACCTCTGTTGCCCCTCACTCACCAAACACATGTATTTATAACAAAATTCTTGATTGTGTGTCCCTGGACTTCAGATGGGCCCAGGCAGGGGCTACCTCAGCCATCAGTGGGTTCTCCTGTGTGCCAGACCCTGAGTTGGTGCCCCTGTCTGGCCTCCAAGTGTCTGCTACGGGAGCAGGCAGGCTTCTCCCTGTGTGACCTTGGGCCAGCCCCTTGAGCTGTGTAGGACCCAGAGATGCAACAGTCATCACATTGGCCCAAGTCTGTCCTGAGAAGTGGCCCTTAATCATTCTATCCCCAAGCCCCACACATGGTTGGTGGTGTTAGACCCATGGTGTCTGGGCTGGGGAGTTGTCAAAATCAAGGGATTTGCCTTCCCCTGGGGCTGCACAGCAGGGCTCTCAGAAGAATCTGGGCCAGGTCCCAAGCTGGGGAAGGTGGTGGTGGTGACCCAGAGGCAGCTGTCTGGAGCTTGGTTGGGATCCAGTTCCTTGGGTGTGCACATTAGGTACCTTGACTTGGCTCAGATTTTAGACCTGGGTTCAAATCCTGCCCCCCCTCCTCATGAGTATGCCCTCTGGTAAATTCCTAGAAACTTCCCCCAAGGGTTGAGAGGCTGAGAAAGCAGGTGCGGGGAGCTGCCCATGAGGACTCAGGGCGCAGGACTGTCCCCTCTCCAAGGTGCTGAACCTGCAGGTACCTCATCCCTCCTGGCTGCCAGGACTAGGGCTCTGATGGTGGGAGCAGAGTCACCACAATGGGGTACAGATTGGCGAAGGGGGCCTCTAGCCCACTCCTGGCTCAGGATTGGCAAGGAAGGTCCTCACTCCTTGCAAGAGCTGGCCTCACCAATCCCAGCCCCACATCTGCCCTCGGCAGTGGTATGGCCAGGGAACATGTTAACCTGAGAGACTGAGGGGGAAAAGAGCAGAACAAGAGAGTCGCTCCAACCTGGTGGTAGTTCGAGGGCCCCCCCAACTGCACCCCTACCCTGGGCACCCACTTTGGGGTCCCCACTCAGCAGGGGCTAAGACTGCAGTCATAATGGGAGTGGGAACAGGAGTCCGGCTCTGCCATCTATTCCTTTGGTGGCCCCAGGCCAGTCCCCACCCTCTCTGGGCTTCTCCACCGTCATGAAGCTCTTGGACTGTGAGCACATTTTGATGTTCATCCCTGGTCAGCAAGTCTGACCCCAAGCCGAGTTCCCCATTCCACCCCGGGTCTTCCTCCCTGGGAGGCCCAGTGAAGTCAGGGCTTGTCTGGGCTACAAGGTGAGTACCAGGCAAAGGAGGACTAGTGACAGCCAGTTGAGGAGCACTGTCCTGTCACCTGCTTTAATCTGTTTAACCTTGACAGTTAAGGAAGGAAGGTAGATACTATTAACTCCACATTACATCAGGTGACCTCCCAAGGCCACACCTGACTGTAGGCCTCCTGGGAGCTGCTCCACTCCATCTATAGAGGCAGCTCAGCCCAAGCACCCAGGTGCTCCCAGCAGGGTGTCTGCCTGGACCTCCACTCTTCACGCCCCACCTCCCCATCTTAGGCCTGACAGTGATCAAGCTCCAGGAGGGCCCATCTTGAGTAAGACCAGAGGAATGAAGGAAGGCAGTGAAAATGGGTTCCATCTCTGGGGATACTGGACCTGGGTCACACTAACTCTGTGACTTGAAAGTGTTAGTTGCTCAGTCATGTCTGACTGTTTGCAACCCCATGGACTGTAGCCTGGCAGGCTCATCTGTGCATGTAATTCTCTAGGAGAAAATACTGGAGTGGGTTCCCATGCTCTCCTCCAGGAGATCTTCCCAACACAGGGATCAAACCCTGGTATCCCACATTGCAGGCAGATTCTTTACTGAGTCACCAGGGAAGCCTGTGACTTAGATATAACTCCTGACTCAGTTATCCTGTCTGTAAAATGGGAGCAATGGTTCTCAATGGTTACAAAGTTTCATCAAGGAGCACATGTCAGATGGTTCTCATTGAGCTGGTGGAAATCAGAATTCTTTCTCAGGGCAGAGGAACAAGAAGAAAGCGTCCAGATTGCAGAAAAAGCAGCAAGAATGCCTAACCTGGGACTGCCCTGGTCATCCAGTGCTTAAGAATCCGCCTGCCAGACAGGGGACTCGGATTTGATCCTTGCTCTGGGATGATCCAAAACATAATTTAAAAAAAAAAAGCCTGACCTGGAAGCAGAAGGTATCTGCTGTATAAATCCCTCCACTTCTCCAAATGTGAGTGGAGTCTCTATATACCTCAAAGAGATGGGCCTTGAGGAAAAGCACTGACCCCACAGCTGGGTGGATGTGATGTGGACACAGACTCATCTGCAGAAGCAGGTGTTCGGTGGAGATGTAAGTCGAGTCTTCTCAAGTTCCAGAAATCCAGAAGAGGGCAGTGAACAAGTCTAGTCTCTGACATGGAGAACAGAATAAGAATCCTATCTAGAATCCTGAAGTTCAGATATTAAAAACAGCCCTTCCCCCACTTTACAGATTCCAATATTTCCCACATGAGTTATTAGGAGAAAAATAGCCCCTTTGAATGCGCACTCTTCTCCTCAGAGGCAGCCGCATTCACCTCTTCCACTGATTATTTTGGTATTTACCATCATGACTGTAAACAGTATGCTTGTTGTCAGTTTTAGTCACAATCTGTCAATTTCCCATTTGGGAAGGTGACGATGTAGCTCTCTGCTTCCCTGCCCCCACCACACTCTCAACAATTAAATGACAGTCTCAGTTGGCTCCACATTCAGTGCTTGCACCATTACAAACATGCAAATAATATTTGCAGCTGAGACTCATGGGGGAAAAGAAAAAACGATACCTTCTTATCTCTGGCATAGCTTCTTGCTTTCCCTGGAGGCTTTTTCCATTTGCTTAATTTTCACATTCATTTAGGAAAAATAACTACTGAAAGAAAGCTTTTTAAAGGATCTTTGGGCTCTACAGGTGTTTTATCTTTCCATCTTTCTGAAAAGTCTGTTCTGTGTCTCCTGACTACCAGATGGAATTCCACTCTTGACTCTCAGAGCCCATATCTTTCTGTTTCTTGGTTTACCCCCTCAGTTTGGAGAAGCACATCCTTGAGATGCTTTCTGAGAAAGGGGACAAGAGATGAAAGTTTTAAAAAATCTGACACCCATGAAACTCTTTATCCATCTTCATGCTTAACTGATGGGTACAGAATTCAGATGAGTATAGAAATATGTTGGCAATGATCTTCCTCCAACATTCTGAGATTTGCTGTTTTCCATTATTATTATCATGGCAGCATTTAAAATTAGCCCAAAATGTAGCAAGTGGAAACAATAAGTAGGTTGAAAGAGTAACAACAAGCATGTCTTTTGTGGGCCAGGAATTTAGGAGTGACTTAGCTGGTTGGTTCAGTTTAGGGTCACTCACGAGGCTGCAGTAAAGCTGTTGCTAGCGCTGAGGGTCAGCTTCCAAGATGATTCAGTCATGGGACTAGCAAATTACGGAGGAGGTTATCCGGAGGACCTATTTCCTCCCCAAGTGGACCTTTCCATAGAGACTGTTCTCACTCATGGTGGCTGACTTCCCCCTGAACAAGTGATCCAGAAGAGAGCCAGGTGGACTCTGCTATGCCTCGAACGCCTCACCACACATAACATACCATCATTTCAGCCGTGTCCTATGTTGCTGTTCAGTTACTAAGTTGTGTCCAACTCTTAGTGACCCCATGGACTGCAGCACGCCAGGCTCCTCTATCCTCCACTATCTCCTGAAGTTTGCTGCAATTCATGTCCACACATGAGTCAGTGATGCTATCTAACCATCCTCTTCATCCTCTGTCACCTCTTTCTCCTTTTGCCTTCAGTCTTTGCCAGCATCTGGTCTTTTCCATTGAGTCAGCTCTTCACATCAGGTGGCCAAAGTATTGGAGTTTCAGCCTGGGTCCTTCCAGTGATTATTCAGGGTTGATATCCTTTAGGACTGACTGGTTTGATCTGTATGGATAAGTTCTATACATGAGGATATGAATATCCCAATATGGGACTCACTGGAGTCTGGCTTCTAGTTTCCACTGTTGCTTTGAGAGCTACGGGATCATTTATATCCTGACCTTTGTACGTGATCGTTCCCTTTGCATCTGTCTCTGTATCTCACAATTTGTAGAACATGATTTTTCTCTCTACTGTGTTGAAATAACATGTGTAAAATTCTATTTTCATCTCCTGTTCTGGGCACTTAGGTGATATTTTCAATCAATAAACTTGCATTATCTTCTGGGAAATTTCCTTGTGTTACTTTGTTTATAATTTCCTTTCTTCTGCTCTCTTTGTTGTCCTTTCCTTGAATTTCTGTTTTTTAGTCTTTGACATACTATATAGAACTTCTTAACAATGATTTTTTTTTGTTTAGTTTTTTATTTTTTGGCCACAGAATGGGGCATGTGGAATCTTGGTTCCCCAACTAGGAATCGAAAAACCTCATCCCCCACCCCCACCCCAAAAAAAAGAAAGAAAAACCGCATCCCCTATATTGGAAGCTCGGAGTCTTAACCACTGGACCACCAGGTAAATCCTCATATGAGACTCTTTGCTGGTTTTTTTTTTTCTTCTTTTCTTTTTAAACTCTATTTTATGGAATATTTCTTCAGCTTATCTTCCAAACATTTTATTGAGTTTTTCTTTTTTTCTATCATATTTTTATTTCCCCAAACCATGTTTTGTTCTCTGAATGCTCTTGTTAAACAGCATCCTGTGCTTGCCTCTTGTTCTGGCCTCTTCCTTTGAAAATAATGATTGCTTCCTTTTAGTTTTGGACATTTCCCGCTCACTGATGCTTTCTGTTTTGCTGTGGTTGGTTGGTTGGTTGATATTTTTTTGGTCTTTCTCATGTATGAGGTTTTCCTCAGTAGTCATTGAATGTTCTGCTCATATGTAAGACTGGGGACTAAAAAGCTAATTGGAAACTCTGAGCACATGACAAGGACTTGTCAGTGACCTTCACTGTGGATGACATGCTGAGCCATTTGCTTGTAGAACCTTCAAGTCAGCATCTCTAGATCTTTCCTCCTGACCTCTTCATTCTTCCCGGGGAAAAGAGAGAAGCCTGGTGGCTGCCAGGTTCTAGGAGCTGAGTCTGAGGAAGGCTGGTCTGTCTGCATAGAGCCGTTGTTTTCTGTCAGGCCCTGCCATCCTCGGCAGGACCTGGGGCTCTCCAGATCCTTCCTCCAAGGATGCATGCATGTGTGCTAAGGGCTTCAGTCATGTCCGACTGTGTGTGACCCTATGGACTGTAGCCTGCTAAGCTCCTTTGTCCATGGGATTCTCCAGACAAGAACACTGGAATGGGTAGCCATGGTCTCCTCCCAACCCAGGCATCTTCCCAACCAAGGGATTAAACCTGTGTCTCTTACGTCTCCTGCTTTGATGTGTATCCTCCAAGGATAAGTTGCCTGTTTCTGCTGGGGTTGGGAGACAGGAAGCAGGGATTGGCAAGATGCTTAATTGTGTCCAGAAGGACTTGGGGCCACAAATTCCTGATTTCATTGCCAGCTCAGAGTTGCTTCCTGGAGCATCATTTCCACCTGTCCATCTGTTTCTCCAGCTTCCTAAATGCCAATTCCACATCCTCTCCCATGTTCCCCATCATTGTGGACTCGTGTTTTTAAAGCTCCCCTCTTCTCTCTGCCAGGAGGGAAAGGTAGATGCCTATGTGCCTCCCCCATGTCCACCTAGAAGCACTGTCCCCAGAACTCCGAGTGACCTCAGAAGTCACACACTCCTGGGGAACCCCAAAGGTCAAGGGTGAAGAAGACAGAGCTAGCATTTGTTCCCAGGCCTCCTGGCCGTCACCCAGCCCCTGGCTCCTGGAGCATCCTACCCTCGCTGCCCAGAAATCTGGGCAGGCAGGAGTCATGGGGTCTGTTCCCAGAAGGCCAGGGTGGCTGGGGGCAGGGCCAGGGGCAGGGCCAGGCGCTGGACAAACAGATCAAAGGTGAGGTGCCTAGTCAGCCAGTGGACACGGAGTGCACCATGAGGTGGGTGGAAGCCCCCAGGACCTCCTTGGCAAGGGTGAGGGCTGAGAGCAGGCCTCACCGCCCCTGCCCTGCACTGCCCTCAGGCTGCTGGTCTTCCTGGGCCTGCTGTGGGGCTCAGCGGGTGCGTCCTCGGGGCCGCAGTGGCCCAAGCCCGTGTTCGGGCGCCTGGCATCGCCCGGCTTCCCCGACAAGTACGCCAACAACCAGGAGCGGCGCTGGGCCCTGACGGCGCCCCCCGGCTACCGCCTGCGCCTCTACTTCACGCACTTCCAGCTGGAGCCCTCCTACCTGTGCGAGTATGACTTCGTCAAGGTGCCAGCAGGGCAGGCGGGGGGCTGGGACACCTGGGGGCAGGGTCTGAGCTCGGGGGGCGGGAGGGCAGTCAGGCCTGGCGTCTCGCCTTGGCTCCCCGTGACCCCCCGCCCCCCCAGCTGAGCGCCGGGACCAAGGAGCTGGCCACGCTCTGCGGCTCGGAGAGCACAGACACGGAGCGCGCGCCCGGCAACGACACCTTCCGCTCGCCGGGCTCCAGCCTGGAAGTCACCTTCCGCTCCGATTACTCCAATGAGAAGCCGTTCACGGGCTTCGAGGCCTTCTATTCTGCAGAGGGTGAGCGAGGGTGGGGGCGGGACTTGGTCTCGGCCGGACTGGTCCTCCCTTTGGTCTCCTCCCCACCCCCACTCCGGTCCCTGAGGCTGGCTTCTTGCCAGACCAGCGGAAGAGTCCACACCTGGTCTGACATCATCACAATGCAAATATCCCTAACAGGCCATGACCTCTGCGCTAGACTAAGCCCCCCTTCTGTGCCAGGTGCTAAGACTGAACCCCCTTCTGTGCCAGGGACATCCTCGGGGGCCCCTGTGATGCAAGGGCCAGGTGAGCCCATTTGCAGATGGGCAGGTGAAGCCCCGCCGGCCTGAGTGCTGCGTCTGCATGTGGACTTTGATGCTTGGTTTCAGATTCTGGCTCTTGCAGGGACTTGCTGTGTGGCCTTGGGCAAGTGGTTCAACCTCTCTGTGTTTGTCCTGAGGCTGCTCTAAGAGTTCAGTGAAACCTGTATAGAGGCCTACCCATTGGGTTCCCTTGCAGGCTGCTCCCTGCGCTGGCCTGGCTACGTGGAGCAGGACGCTTCACCTTCATTGGTTTAAAAAGGGGGAAATTGAGGTCTCCCTCCAACTGTTGCAGGAAGGCCACAGTGACCTTTGTTTGGCCTCTGGCACTTGGCCTGGCATGAGCCACCTTCATTCCAGAGGAGGCTTCTCTCAGGGCAGCTGGGAGGGTGGGGGCCTCTGAGCCCGAGCCCAGGCCTCAATGATATCCCCTCCCCTTTCCTGCTGCCTGTCTGCCTGGCCCTCCCCCAGACATTGACGAGTGCCAGGTGCCCCCAGGAGAGACCCCCACCTGCGACCACCACTGCCACAACCACCTGGGCGGCTTCTACTGCTCCTGCCGTGTGGGCTATGTTCTCCACAGGGACAAGCGCACCTGCTCAGGTGAGCCACAGCTGGAAAGGGGGAAAGGTGGGGACACTATGTCTGGCCCAGCCCCCACTCTGCCCCAAGATACCACTGGTTTCTCAAGGCCATAGGTGCTCTGCCCAGGCGATTGAAGGGACCACTGGCCTTGGCCTTATAGATACTTCTCCTAGGTGGTGGCCCCTTCTTGGTCTTTTGTCCCCTCTCACCATCCACCTATCTCACCATCCACCCATTCATCCTTTAGCCATCTGTCTATCTGTCCACTCACCCATCCATCTATCCATCTATCAGTCTTTCCACCCATCCATTCATCCATATTCTCCAGTTCCTCACCCCCCTCTGCCCTGTCCTTGGCTCACTCTCGTCCTTTTCAGCTCATTCACTTGGTGAGCATGTTTTAGACCCTCACTCTGTACCTGGCCAGTCAGGGCTCGCCCTCCCTGGGGTGGGAGGGCTCCAGGATGGAGGAGGGGGGAGGCCAGGCCTGCTTCACACAAGCTTCCCTTCATGCAACCTCAGGGTGGGGGCAGGGCCTGCTCAAAGCTGCTGTTCGGTGCCCAGCCAGCCAAGCCCTTTGTCCTCCACTGCCTGGATGCCCCTCTGCACCTTTGCCAGGGGCCTGGATGGAAAAGCAGGCGGCGCCCTGGGGAGTGAGCAGCCGCACCCCTCGAAGCTGACCCTGCTCCCCTGCTCAGCACCCCCCCACACCCCGTGTCTCTCCCTGTCTCTCTTTCTCTTCCAGCACAGAGCCTCTAGCCTCCCTCTGGCTCCAGTCTGGGTCGGGCAAGTCTGCTGCTGCCTGCAGCCCCTACTGACCTCCCCCTCGGACCTAACAATAAACGTGGCTCCACCTCCACCTGCTGCCTGTCTCTGGGGGGACAGCGGGGGAGGGCTGTGATGTGCTCCCTGGCCCCTCTCCTCTTCCATCCTCATCTCAGCCTGAGGGGCCCCAATTGGGGGCGGCCCCCTCCACGGGGCCACAGCCTCCTTGGCCAGAAGGGCTGCTCTGCTTGCTTATTTTGATGGTGGGGCCGTGAGGCCCAGAGAGGGGCATAGGCTTGCTTGAGTTCACACAGGGCAGCCAAGCTCTTGCTGCTCCCCTACCAGGAACCCAAGGACTGAGCTCAGAGCATCCTTGGGTCCACTTCTTGTTCAAAGGGCAACTCAGGTCCTGTGTGTGCTGGGCTGAGGGAGTCTGACCCAGAGCAGAGAGGCCAGGGAGGTACTGATGGATGGGAACTGATTGCCCATCAACTCACTGATGGGTAATCTGGTCCCCCACGTCTGGGGCTGACTGCCTCTGCATCCTGGGAAGCCGCCACGTAGAAGAAGAAAGGCGGTACTGGGCTCCTACTTCCTGAAATGTCCCCTCCCCCCACCACCTGAGGAGGGGGGCAGGACTCTCCCATGAGTGAAGCCGACTTCCCTCTTCAAAGGCAGAGTCAGTTGTTTCCATGGGGAACATGGGCACCAGACTCATCTGTGATCAATGTGGACTTGAACGTCCCTCAGCTGCCCCCCAGGGCAGAGCCTTGATCCAGGGAAGGTGGGTGGAGGGGAGGGCCCCAGGGAGGCTGGGCTGGACTGGCCAGGCCTGGGGGTACAGGTGGGTGGGAGTCCCGTGCAGATGAACTTGGGGGTTGTTAGAGTCAGGGGTGGGTGGGTGACCCTCAGCCCAAGGAGATACCTCTCCTCCCATCCACTCCCCACCCAATTCCTGGGGAACAAGGAAAGTCCCCTTTACTTCTCTTGGTGCCTTCTTCCCCCTGGGCAGATCCCACACCCCTCACTCCTGGAATTGGAACTCTGGCCCAGTGATCCCTGCAACGGAAGCCTTGGCCTAGGGCCCCCATCTTCCCTGGGGGTGTGAGTGCAGCCCCTGGAGAATGTACATTCAAGTGTTGCCCGTGTCAGCTAAAGCCTGGAAGCCAGAGGAACCCCCTCCCTAAACTGTCCCTTCAGCCCCTGGGTGGGGTGTCCAGTCTCTGGAGGAGCCTCTGGAGCTGGTGTCTGAGCTAGATCAGTAGCCTGAAGCTGCTGTGCCCGGCTCACCCTGCCTGTCCTCCCCACTCTCCCCAGCCCTGTGTTCTGGCCAGGTCTTCACTGCCCGGTCTGGGGAGCTCAGCAGCCCTGAATACCCGCAGCCATACCCCAAACTCTCCAACTGCACCTACAGCATCCACTTGGAGGAGGGATTCCATGTCATCTTGGACTTTGTGGGGTCCTTTGACGTGGAGATGCACCCCGAGACTCTGTGCCCCCACGACTCCCTCAAGGTCTGGTTCCTCTGGCCCCCACCTCACCCTGGCCTGGGAGGTCCTGGGGTGACGGGTATCTCTCCGCTTTCAGATTCGAACAGACAAGGCAGAATACGGCCCGTTCTGCGGGAAGACATTGCCCCGCAGGATTGAAACCAAGAGCAGTACCGTGACCATCACCTTTGCCACCGATCAGTCAGGGGACCACATGGGCTGGAAGGTCCGATACAGCAGCACAGGTGAGGGCAGGTAGGGGCTCTTCCAGAAGCATCAAGGAGCCACATGGGATGGAACTCTTCCTGGCTGGGCCCCGGAAACTGGGAAGGGAAAAGTTTTCCTTAACCTGCTCAGTGTCCCTGGCTGAGTCTGAAAAGCAAACTGACAGGTTAATGGGAAAAAGCATACTTGTTCATTTCATGTAAGTTTTATGTGGCACCAGGGCTTCCCTCGTGGCTCGGATGGTATGAATCTGCCTGCAATGCAGGAGGCCTGGGTTCACTTCCCCCTGGAGAAGGGAATGGCAACCCACTCTGGCATTCTTGCCTGGAGAATCCCATGGACAGAGGAGCCTGCTGGGCTACAGTCCACGGGGTCACAAAGAGTTGGACACGACTGAGTGACTAACGCTCCACACACACTCCACATTTTACATGGTACAGGTGCCTTCCTAAGGAAATGAAGACCGAGAGAGACAGCTATGTACTTCTGTGCTGGGTCTGCTGAGGAGTTTGACAGGCTGAGGAATATGAAGTAAGGGTGGTGAACTGGGAGAAACTTGCTCAGTCGCTCAGTCATGTCCGACTCTTTGCAACGCCATGGACTGCAGCATGCCAGACTTCCTTGTCCATCACTAACTCCCGGAGCTTGATCAAATTCATGTCCATTGAGTCGGTGATGCCATCCAACCATCTCATCCTATGCCATCCCCTTCTTCTCCTACCCTGGGAAAGCCGAGCATCAGGGTCTTTTCCAATGTCAGTTCTTCATATCAGGTGGTCAGAGTATTGGAGCTTCAGCTTCAGCCTCAATCCTTACAATGGCTCAGATGTAGCCAGCCCTGTTTGTTAGGATTCTTCTTGGCATCCCTTTGTCTTTGATGATAAGGCTTCCCTCTGAGTATAGGGAAGACACCTGTCACACAAGGGTCTTATAACCTGCTTCAGGGGAGAAGGGAGAGGCAGAGGGAGGAATATGGAAGGGTGTTGTCCCAAGGGCAAGGGAACTGTTATGTGCAAAAGCCCAGAGGCTCCATCTTTCTTGGTGTGAAGCTGCATTGGGTGTGATGGGGTGGGCAGAGATGGAGGCTTCCGTCACAGAGGGTTTGGATGGAGCATCTGCAGCTGGGGCTACACTCTGCCTCCCTGATCTGCCTCCACCCTCCAGGCCCCTTGGGCTTTCCCCACCTCTTCCTCATGATAGACCCTCACACACTGGACGGTTCTTGGTATTACCTCCTTAGACACAAGTTCAAGTCCCCCACCTTCTGGGCAGTGACCACTAGATGTGACTGTTCCCCTGAGAGTTGACACTCTCAGCCAACTGGTCTCTCAGGATGTTTTTGGAAGGACCGAGTAACTGAACTGGAGAAGCTCCAAAGCAAAGTACTTGCAGTCCAAGCTGTGCTGAGAGTGCAGGCTGAGGGTCAGGCTGCCCAGCTTGTTGTCCCAGCTGTACTGCCACCTACTTCCTGGCCATGTGACACTGAGCCTCTTAACGTAACTTTCCTAAGATGTGCTGTCTCAATTATCCAGTGAAGTATAACATCTCTGTGGAAAGGTGGGGGTTGGTGGGTTAATGCAGAAGGCATGGAGTGTGTGTGAAGGAGGTATTAATTTTTAAAATGCGGAGTTTGGATTAACAAAGATTAACCTTTGGGCCACCTCTGCTGGATATGTGGGAAAGAATGAGAGCCTGGTCAGGAGGGCAGAGACCGGCACTTTGGCAGCTTTTTTTTTTTTTTTGGATATGGGCCGTTTAAAAAATCTTTATTGAATTCGCCACAATATTGCTTCTGTTTTTGTTTTCTTGGCCCTGAGGCATATGGTATCTTAGCTCCCTGGCCAGGGATCGAACCCACACCCCTCTGCACTGGAAGGTAAAGTCTTAACCACTGGATGGCCAGGGAAGTCCCAAACATTTCATTTTTTAAAGGCCTTTTGTTTTCCTGTGGGTCAAAGTAATAAAACTTCTAAACCTGGAGTACTGGTTTCGGAGTGAGTAGGAGGAAAAGTCAGGTTTGCCAGGCTGGTGAATGAGAAGGGGCCGGCACATGGCCTGGCAGTGTGTGTGAAGGAGGGTGTGAGCAAGGCCCTGGCCTGGTATTAAGATGGCCTCAGGAAGCCCCGGGATGTCCCTGGAGGCTCTGGGGCCTACCTGGGACTGAGAGTCACCCAGGGGCATGGAGATCGGCTGCTGGAGGAAGTGGGGGACAGGCAAATGGCCTGCGTGGGCTGAGGGGTGGCCTTGGGGGATTGTCAGCCACGGGGGATGGGCTGAAGGCTTGGGGTGATAACAGGCCAGGGTTTGGGGGCCAAAGTGGAAGCCAGTCCTGGGCCCTGTGGGCAAGTGCTCATGAGGGACAGGAGAGACTTCCCAGGCGCCAGTCTGGCTCTGAGCCACGAGGTCTGCTGGGAGGGTTCCCTGGCTGCAACCACCTCCTGCCCAGTGCTTATTTCCTGGTAACTCAACCGGTAAATAATCTGCCTGCAATGCAGGAGACCTGAATTCACTTCCTGGGTCAGGAAGATACCCTGGAGAAGGAAACAGCAACCCACTCCAGTATTCTTGCCTGGGAAATCCTACAGATGGAGGAGCCTAGCGGGCTACAGTCCATGGGGTCGCAAAGAGTCAGACATGACTGAGCAACTAACACTTTATTAGTAAAGCACATTCATCTGTGCTTCACACTCAGTCCTCACAAAGCCCCAGCAGGTGAGCAAACAGTCTCATGAGGATTATGGATGAAGAAAGTGAGACTTACCTGTGATTTAAATGTATGTGGTCCAGCTCTTTCCCCCCACCCCCGCCCCGCCCCTGTTACACTCCCCCAGTTCTCAGCAGTGTGTGTGAGGTGCCTGGCAGGGAGCAGACATGCCCTTTGCCATGACCATGCTCCCTTACTGTATGCCTGACTTTCTATCACTTTGGCTGAAGCCCAGGCCAGACAACAAATCCTAATTTGTACAATAAGCAATGGAGAGTTTAATCTTGCCTTTGGATTTAAATCTTAAGAACTCTCTCCCATGTGGCAAGCTCTCTCTACACGTTAAGTGTTTCACTTATAAATCAAGAACTCCTCTAATTGTTCAATTCAGACTTGCCTGCTGTAGACCACAGCCAAACCCATGTCTCATTTCCTTGCTCAGCTCAGCCTTGCCCTGATCCATTGGCGCCACCTAATGGCCACATCTCCCCTGTGCAAGCCAAATACATCCTGAAAGATCGCTTCTCGGTCTTCTGCGAGACTGGTTATGAACTTCTGCAAGTAAGTTAATGTAAAACTGCTAACTGCAACCACAATCATATTTATATCAGCAAGTATGTGAAAGGAAGATGGGAAAACAGCTGTTGTCGGCATGGTGGTTTCTTTTCCCTGTGATTAAACAATAAAATTCAAAGAAATGATACATTTGCTAATAAGAAAAATGGCTATAGAAAAATTTCTGTTCTTAGGAATTCTGCTATTTTTAAAAAACATTTAATTGATTAATTTGTTTATAGCGGTGCTGGTTCTTCCTTGCTGCTCAGGCTTTCTCTAGATGCAGCAAGCAGGGGCTACTCTCTAGTTACTGTGTGTGGGCTTCTCTTGCTGTGGAGCACAGGCTCTTGAGCACAAGGATGAAAGGCTTAATTGCTCTGCAGCATGTGGAATCTTCCTACAGGGATTGAAACTACATCTTCTGCATTAGCAGGAGGATTCTTAACCATTGAACCACCAGGGAAGTCCCAGAACTCTGCTATTTAAAAAAGCTTTGTCTTGGGGAAAGCTGGTGATATAAATGAACACCTTTTCTCAGTTCATACACATTACTGCAGCTCTTGGTAAAGCAGCTGAAATGTTTGCCATTGTGCTCTATGCTATCACCTTGCATTAAATCAAACTCCTCCTCCTGGTCAAATAACCTTTACATGAAACAACTCCTGGGCCCACAAAAAATTAAGCAGCCCTTGGAAATAGTATATTCTGCAGAGTGATAAACAGTGACCACTGTTAAGGGAGAGGGAGAATAATTTCAAAAAATGCTTAGTGTGTTGCTTTAGGGGCACAGGTAGGAGATTAACATGTCCTCGTTATGTTCTTCAAAATTGTCACTGAATCCCAATGGTAAAAAGTAATAACATTGAAATGATAGCTGGCTATGCAATCCAGTCCTGTGGAGGGGGAAAAAATGAGACACTTTTCTCAATTTGCAAACTTCTGGGCGGGCTCTTCCCATAGCTCCTTGAACTGCAAACCTGTTTAGTTTTTCTTTTTAAATAAACATCTATTTAACATCTAGTTTTATCAACCATCATCTTTAAAGATAAATATATATATGTATTTATATGCCATGCTTCATAGTTTGTGGTTCCCCCACCAGGAATTGAACCCAGTCCCTGGCAGTGAAAGCTTGAAGTCCTAACCATAACCACTGGACTGCCAGGGAAGTCTGTCCTTTTTTTTTTTTAGTATTTCCTGTTCAGTCTCTGATGAAAAAAAAAAATCATCCTACTCTCCTTTGAAGCATAAAGCTTCTGTCAAAGCCACCTTCTTTCACTTCAAGTCTGCTTTAGAAAAATACCTCAGGACCTCCCTAGTGGTCCAGTGGTTAAGAATCTGCCTGCCCATGCAAGAGACACGGGTTCAATCCCTGGTCCGGGAAGATCCCACATGCTGTGGAGCAACTAAGCCTGTGTGCCACAGCTCCTTAGCCCATGCTCTAGAGCCTGTGCTTTGCAACAAGAGAAGCCATTGCAATGAGAAGCCTGCTCACTTCAACTAAAGAAAGCCTGTGCACAGCAATAAAGACCCGCACAGCCAAAAATAAATACATTTTTTTTTAAAAAGAAAAATACCTCAATGTCAAAAATGTCCCTCTAAATGATATTAGCGATGGAACCGATTGAGAACACCCATGTGAAGCTTAAGGAAGTATTTTAAATGAATTTCCTCCAGCTAATAGCTGCAGGCTAGAAAAATCCAGACACATTCACTCCATGCCTGATCAGGTTGACCTTTCCCAGACTTCTGACCATCACCCTTTGGCACTTAAACGGTGCAGCAAAAGCAGGAACTTGAGATCTGACATGTTCTTGGATTAAAATGGAAAGCAAAAACAAAAACTGTGGCAAGAGGTCAACATCTTTAAGAAAGACACACGCATAGATGACATCCCAAGCAGAGACATGTATCAAGGTAGCTGGGCTGTGTGTCACATGGGCTCATCACTCTCCTTGGGAGCATCTCTCGAAATACTAGAAGAGGGACTACTGTGGGACTGAGCTTTGAGGAGTGCTTTCATGATGAAAACAAGGAAAGTAATGTTTTCTCAATTCTTTAGGGTAATTTACCCCTGAAATCATTTGTTGCGGCCTGTCAGAAAGACGGATCTTGGGACCAACCGATGCCAGAGTGCAGAAGTACGTATGTGTGACCACAACGCCCACAGCTGCTTCTGGTCTTTTTAGAAAATGATTTTATCTATCAGGGCTTGAACTCCAAGTTTGCTTCTCTTACCCAGTGTCTAGGTGCACTCTTACGCGGTTAAAATGGGACCATGCTACTAGGAAAAGTATTTGCTTTAGTATATTCAAAAGTACTTTTCTAAGTATAAGTGAAGTCGCTCAGTCGTGTCAGACTCTTTGCGACCCCATGGACTATAACCTACCAGGATCCTCAGTCCATGGGATTTTCCAGGCAAGAATACTAGAGTGGGTTGCCATTTCCTTCTCCAGGGGACCTTCCCAACTCAGGGATCGAACCTGGGTCTCCTGCATTGTAGGCAGATGCTTTACTGTCTGAGCTACCAGGGAAGCCCTTTTCTAAGTATAAAGTACTCATCAAAGATGGGGAATAGAGAAAAATTACAAACATTGTAATATTCATAATCTTGCTCTATCAGTATAACCACTGTTGCTCTTTTGGTATATATCTCTTCAGTTAGACATATAACACATGTAAACATGTTCAGGCTACCATTTGATGCAGATAATTGTGGTATGTGTATATATATATACACGTACATACACACAGACATATATCCACATCAAACTGGGATGACACTGTCCATTACCATTTTGTGAACTGAGTCATGTATCTAATGAATTATCATGTTACATGTTCAGTTCAGTCACTCAGCCGTGTCTGACTCTTTGCAACCCCATAGACTGCAGCATGCCAGGCTTTCCTGTCCATCGAGTTGGTGATGTCATCCGACCATCTCATCTTCTGTCATCCCCTTTTCCTCCCATCTTCAATCTTTCCCAGCATCAGGATCTTTTCCAATGAGTTAGTTCTTCACATCAGGTGGCCAAAGTATTGGAGTTTCAGCTTCAGCATTAGTCCTTCCAATGAATATTCAGGACTGATCTCCTTGTAGTCCAAGGGACTCTCAAGTCGTCTCCAACAACCCCAGTTCAAAAGCATCAATGTTGGTGGAAGTAACAAATTTACAAAACAAAAGTGAAAACCTCTCTTGCCCAAATCCTCAAACTATTGATATCTTTAGGACACTGGGGTCTATTCCTTCACATCATTCTATATCTCCTATGCTATTCATACTAATATATTTCACTATTACATACTTTTGAAACAAAGTGGGATTCTCAATCTGACTGCAGTTTACCCTTCCCCTCCATAATTGCTGGGGTATCTTTCCACATCGATTCAAGCATTAATAGAGCTCCTCATTCTTATTAATGACTGTCTAGTAATCCATGAGACCTACCTATGATTTTCAGTCCATGTGATCTTTATTTCCAGTATTTTACCATTACAGATGTTGCTGTAGTTAATACCTCTGTACCTATATGTTCACATATCTTGTTCAAAGGTTTCTACAAAATTCCTAGGGGAATTTAAATATTTTCATCTCTAAAATTTATATTCCTGTCAGACTACCAATTTTAGTTTAAAAAACAGTAAGGAAGAGCTGGCACTGAGGGTGTTGGAATAAGAGGTATTGGGTGTGAGCCCTGATTCTGCCACTTCTGTGGTTATGGGCATATTACCTGTGGAGAAAGTGTACTAAGCACTTGGCACAGAGCCAGATACACTGCTATTAAGTGGCTGAAAACCAAGTATTATTTTTTTTAGTGTCCACAGAAATGCAATTTTTGTTTTATTGTGTACAAAACTATGACTTTTAGACTGATACCACTTTCTCACAAACCGGTTATTTCACATTAATGTCCGAACAGGTATGAACTCCAACCCAAGCTCAAGGTAGCATGACTTCTAGGTCTTCTAAAAAGCTAAGGGTCATAACAAGCTGAGTCCTTCAGTCTTTGTATTGTTCTACCTTTAAGGCTAACCAAATTGCACCAGTTTACATGGAGCCAGACTGTATATGCCAACTGCAGGCCATGCCGTTTTCTTCTGTTGCTATTTTGTTGCACGAGGAGATATTCAACAAATGCCAACCACTTTTTTTACATGTGAGAATGCTAAGTCCATCCAAAAGGTTTCAAATCCCCTTCCTTTAGGGAAAGCATCCTACCCTCCTTGCCCAGGGCCTTCACTTCAACCTAGCCATTTGTTGAGGGATAGGAAGCAGTGATGCTTTAAAACCACACTTAACGTGATGCTCATTTTCAGAGATGAAATGATGTCCACATGCCTTCAGGTTACAGCATCACACAGCCAACCATCATCACAATCTCCACACATTATTTTAATGTTAGAATTTGGTACAGACTGACTTCCCTCTCCCATTATTTATTAGTTGTGGACTGTGGCCCTCCTGACAATCTACCCAGTGGCCAGGTGGAGTACATCACGGGTCCTGCGGTGACCACGTACAGGGCTGTGGTTAAATACCGCTGTAATGAGCTCTACACAATGACAACCAATGATGGTAAGCAAACTGTTCCAAGTTGGGGGTGGGTGATATTTGGAACCTAAGCCCTCATGATCTGAAAATAAACTTACCCAACGTTTTTGGCTAAGGCTAGGCAAAAGATTAAAAGGCACGTCTCCCACCTGCTAAGTGAAATATTGCAGCTGAAGTGACTTTAATGTCAATTTGCAAGAATCTGAAAACAGATCTTATCCAGTAAATGACTACCACAAACACACAATATATTCCAAATGGTTTAATTTAACAAGTCAAAACCTTATCATTAAGCACTTGAGATCTTGATACATATTCAAGTTACACATCTAAAAGGTTTCCACTTTGCAAGCAAACATGGTAATGCAGAGACCTCCTATTTATGAAATCATGTAAAACGGTTATTCAGACACCTCTATTTCCCACTGATGCTCAAGAATCAACATTTTTCAAGGGGGTATTCAAGCAAATGACAACCACCGTTTACATGCAGTTAAACATTTTTGTTTTTCCAATGATTTGCAGGTAAATATGTGTGTGAGGCTGATGGATTCTGGACGAGCTCCAAAGGAGAAAAATCACTCCCAGTCTGTGAGCCTGGTAATGGATACATTTATACAAGAGATTTGTAATTGATGGAAAGTAGAACTGGGTAGGAGACAGTAAGTAGCGCTTTAGCTGTGTAGGCAGAAATGTAACTTCAGCACTTGGCTCTTAGACCAACTTATTATTTCCAAATAGTATGTTCTCATTACCCCTTTCCATATGGAGAGGTTTGTTAGGTGCTGACTGCATCAGTCATATGATTATTTTTGACCTTACAACTAGGCAAGCATAAAAAATTAAATGATACTTAAAATTATCTTGAACCATTTATACATTTATAAACATGAGTTCTTCTGTTACGTTTCTTCTCTATAGAAATGCTATTACCAAAGCTATAACCCAAAGCTAATAACCTCATTATTTCCCTAAGCAATTGTTTCCAATGACATCTAGTTTTTAAACATTAATGCAATTTGCCTTTTAATAGTACTTAGAAAAAGTTTTTTTACCAGAATTGGCTCTGAAGATATAGTTGACAAAAAAGAAAAAAAAATTAGAAAAGTAACATATATCCATTACCCCTGCTACTGGGTTTATTTAGTCTTCTCAGTTGACACAATGTTTGTAAGCTTTCATAAGACTATTCTGCCACAAGAGGAAACAAATTTGCTACATTAATAAGCATATTTAGTTAGCAATATACAGTAAAGTCTAGTGTCTGGAAGGAACAACTAGACCAGAAATAATTCCTGAACCTGAAGGTTCCTGGCTACAACTGTAACATTCTCATTTTTAAAACATGTAAATGTTCAAAGGTGAAAGTAGTCTGCAAATCCTGATATTGACCCCAGTTTCTGCTTTCCCAGAACTACATGGTAGATACCCCATTTTACAAGCAGAAAAATAGAAGCAAATCCTATGATATTGACCCGAGTTTCTGCTTTCCCAGAACTACATGGTAGATACCCCATTTTACAAGCAGGAAAATAGAAGCAATGGACTTAACGAAGTCCAGTGTCTTTTTCTACTATCCATTTGCATTTCACTTTCTGCGCATACCAGCTCAGACAATTCCTATTAGCCCTACTGAACACTTCCCAGTCCTAAGACCAAGTTACTCTGGCAAAACAAATTAGTTTCTACAAATTAATTTTCACTCACCCCATTTTCTGAGGAGCTAAGAAATACCAAATGGTTTTATCAGATCTTTGAACAATGTTTTAAGCAGTAAAACAACATATACTACACTCACTTGCCTGTATAGGTGGACAAACACCAATTTGTGTGATGCAATTTTTGGCTGACATCAAACATGAGTAACTGATAACTTCAAAGTGGTAATAATTGGAGAAAAACACCATCAGGTTTCTGTAAAGGCTCTATACATCTGCTTCTTTCCCCAGTGTGTGGAATATCCACCCGTACTACAGAAGGTCGTATATATGGAGGACAAAATGCAAAACTTGGTTACTTTCCTTGGCAAGTGCTGTTACTAGGTAAAACCATGGCAGCAGGTGCACTGCTGTATGACAGCTGGATCCTAACGGCTGCCCATGCTGTGTATGACCAAAGAGAAGATGCTGCCTCCCTGCAGATCAGAATGGGGGCCCTGAAGAGAATATCACCTAATTACACACAAGCCTGGGCCGAGGTCATTTTTATACATGAAAGTTACATTCATGATGCTGGTTACGATAATGACATAGCACTGATTAAACTGAAGAACAAAGTTGTAATCAACAGCAACATCATGCCTATTTGTTTGCCAAGAAAAGAAGCAGAATCTTTCATGAGGACAAATGACATTGGAACTGCATCTGGATGGGGATTAACCCAAAGGGGGTTTCTTGCCAGAAATCTAAAGTTTGTTGACATACCAGTTGTTGACCATCAAAAATGTACCGCTGCCTACGAAAAGTCCTATCCAGAGGGAAGGGTAACTGATAACATGCTTTGCGCTGGCTTGCAAAGTGGGGGCAAGGACAGCTGTAGAGGTGACAGTGGGGGGGCATTAGTGTTTCTAGATAATGAGACCCAGAAGTGGTTTGTGGGAGGAATAGTGTCCTGGGGTTCCATTAATTGTGGGAAAGCAGATCAGTATGGGGTCTACACCAAAGTCATAAACTACATTCCCTGGATCAAGAGAATCATTAATAGTAATTTTTAAATTTGTGTCTTCAGCCAGTACGTGATTCTTTGTTTTAAAAAAATACCCGTAAAAGATCTTAGCGGCAAATTGACCTGAGAAACATGAACACGAGCGCTGCCGATCCACCCCAGCCGACCCAGACTGCAGGTGAGCCTGCATATCAGGCACGTGTCCACTAGCCATTTTTCCACCACTTAACTCTGATTCAAGGGGACATAAGCCACTGTAGTGATACTCATCTTGGCTAATCCAATACAAACTCATGGATTAAATCTGCATTTACTTACTTAACGAAGTCCAGTGTCTTTTTCTACTATCTATTTGCATTTCTGGAAATTTCCTGTTCATGTTCTTTAACTGTTTTTGTATTTGCTCTTATTGATCTGAGAGTGTTATATATTACAGCAGTATTGGTTCACGAGTTACTCTGAATGTTTTTCTTGGGTAGATAAATTGGAAATAGCAACACTTTGGCCTAGGTATAGACTGATTTCCATGTTAAAACCAACACTATAATTTTTTAATTAGAAAAAACTGCCAAACAAAGAACACGAACAGCACTATTTCACATTGTCAAAGACAAGAGACTTTCTAAAGGACAATTTGGCAATATATTTCACAAGTCTTAAAAGCATGCATAGTCTTTGACCTGGTAATTACAATGCTAAGATTTTAATTTAGCTGTGAGAATATTCCTAGCACTTGGAAATAACCTAAATAATGTTCAAATTCAGAAGACAGTTAGTTGAATCAAAAGTGGCATTTCCATAAGATGAAATACATTAAAAATAAGTGGTGGTATTATTGGTAAATGTAGTGTTTTTTCTTCTTACCACGAACATGAAATACTTGGGTACACTTTAAAAAATAGATTACAGATCATATAACAGCTGAGTACAGAACTTAACTACACAGTTAAGAGTTACTCTCCCAGTAATCAACAACAAAAAATTATTCTAATTATCACATACATCTGAATTACTATGTACTCAACATCTTTTTCCTAAGGACAAAATTTAAGCCCTGACCTAACCTTAAAATATTTCATTTAATTGGCCTCCTTAAAAAGTTTTAACACCTAACACTCAACAAAATTTCTCATTCTAGCCAGAGTCACCATCATTATGTAGAAATTCACTGTGATTTCAAATAACTTCTCTTGTACATATAAAGTGCAACTTCTAGAGACTCACTTTTTAAAGTTAACTTTCCAGCATCTCTGTCACATAAATAAAAAAAGAAACTGTATTTTTCCAGTAAGACTCCAGACACTAAACTGTGGTGGCAACAAAAATTTTTATTCAACTGGTTCAAAAAAGTTTTTAGAATGAATGCATTTAGATGACCAAATAGACTTTAAAAACAAATCTTTGCCAAATAGTTTACTTCTAAACTTCAATTTTTTTTTTTTTTAGGGTAGAATTAAATACCCATAGCTATGTAGTACCATAAACATGTTAACAGAAGGCTACTCAACATTGAAAGCCTTCTAAGACTGGTAACTAGATTTATACAAGTGTAAATAAGGGATTAAAACCATGCCATTGACAAAGTTAACTTACCCCTGGGCTTCTTGAAGGCTTGTCAGTTTAGTCTTTGGAGGTCCCCGAATACCATTTTAAGTGTTACCATGTTACTGCTGCTGAGTAATAGTGCAAGTGCTAAAATGCAAAATTCAGATGGTACAGGGTTTGGAAATCATGCAATTTAGATGCAGAAAAAAAAATTAAAACAACGCAAGATCCTTTACAGAGGAAACTGAATAAAACAATGTGGCGACCATAAGCCTAAAAGACGACTTCATTTATAAGTTTAAAACACAACTTGCAAAATGACAAACCTATTTACCATAATCTAATTAGATAAGGGCATTAGGTAAATTATCAACACAAAAACTGTTACATTCTTCCGCTAGGAAAGGAGCTCTCACAGTAGTTAGTTACATTTTATGTACAATAGAGAATCAATATATTATTGCTTTTACATACTTAACAATGCACTGTGAGAGTCTTGAGTCTTGTAGATTTATTCAACATTAATCTATTTCCCCACCTTTGGAACACAAAGCCCCTTTCACTTAACACTTCCACAGACAGACAACCCACCCTGCTAGTTCTTAAAGCTATCAGGCTTCTTAATGGATTTCAGGCACAAGATAATTTGTGGTTTCTTCTACTTTATCCCTATTGCAATTAATTCCACTTTTCAAATCCCCAACTAGAAAGGTGCTGATATTCCCTTCATTTCAATTGATAGGCTTTGCTACAAAGCATTTAAAATTAACATTGCTTTGCCCACTCCTTCAAATAAGAATATTTTTAGAAGGATGATTTCCCAATGGAGATTTATACAGGCCATGTAAATAGAACATCACCCAAATGCACAGAGGCACTAAGAAAAAGCTGGAGGGTACTGCTTACCATTTTAGGTGCGGTCACCCAGACTTATTAAAAACTAGATTGGAAAAAACAAAAAACAAAAAAAACTTTTCACTTTGGACAATGCAAGAACAAATAGCAATTAAGTCTGGGTATCAGGTGTCAATGCATGACAGGTGATGAATCCATTTGACTTGAGACAACTTTTCAAATAAGTTTATTTGAAGCAAAATAAACTATTGCCAAGAAACTTTATGAAAGTTCCATCTCAAAAGGGTCAAAAAAAGGGGAATTAACTGCTATGAATTCTTTGCATTCAGGGCTGCAAAACAAAGACACATATTATTTAAATCAGTTTTATTTAAGAATTTCCAACAGTGACAACTCTTATAAAAAGCATCCAAGCACAGGACACAGAACTGCAGCAAACAGCATTCTTATGGGTAGCTAACAGACATGAGAACTTCCACCCTGCTTTGAGACACCCTGAGCTCACTGGTGAACTCTGCTTCCAAGTACTCCTGCAAAGCACACCACAAGCTCAGTCCATGTTCTCAACCCATCAGCTTCAGTTCACATTACCACACTTACAGATCAGTAACAGAAGAGAACACACACCATACAGCATTCACAGCAGTTGACAAAGGGGTAGGGGAAATACAAGTATCGTTTCACTTAACACATTCAGCTAACGTGGGTCATCTAAGAACAAAACTCACTTAAAAGTCTTCCAACAGATGTGGATGTCCTTTGAATGCAAAAACATTCGTACGTTATTTGCTATCCTTGCTCTCTGCACACTCTCTCACCAAAGCCACAGGATTGAGAGACACATCTCGCCAAGTTAAAAAATATCCATTATGCACCACCAAGTCTCTGCACGCGCTCTCTCCTTTTCTCGCTCATACTAGCCTCTCATGCCTCGGCACCACCATCAATCCCACACAAGGTTTCAAAAGTTCAAACAGCCTTCTGGTTCCATATCACAGCCTTGCGTTCATAGCGTTGATACGACTCCATGAAATAAAGAGTAGCGGATAAAAATGGGACACCCACCGTCAAAGACGCAGCCTGTGCAGCGTGATGGCGAGTTCTTGAATGAGAAAGCATGTAGACAGAAGTATTCCTATGGCAGAATATTTACAGCACTACTTTCAATGAAGTGCTTCTTCCATAAACATTTGAAATGAGATGAACTGCAGAGATTAAATGAAGGCTTCATATTGTACTTTTGTATATGAAGGGAGACAAGTGTTAAAACAAAAACAAAAACAAAAAAAAACAAAAGAACCAAGCACTGTGACACCATGATCTCCAAAGAGGAGATTTTCCTAAGGAAAAAAATCCATATGGCGGGGTTCAAATTAAAACAAGGAGAAAAGAATGTAGTTCTAATCAATGGTTTCCATTTTGAACATGCAAAGAATTCACTTGACAAGTCCAGGGATAAAATATTACAGGAGAAACCCTTTGATATCAATTGTAGTGTGTTGGTTTACCAATCAGGCAAACAGCAGTTCACGTTCAAACACTCAATATTTCAACCCTTTATGTAACAAAACTTATAAAATTCCTTTAGCTCTTCCTCTTTTTCTAAAGAAAAATGTCAAAAATACTGCTGAATATACTCCACACTGAACAAACCAATTTTGAAAATTCTTACATATGTTATTTTACAATATACTTACCATGAGTTTAGAAAAATTTGAATTCCCACCAGTATACCAACTAACCGTAACCCAATGTCTACATTCCCCAGCCAGAAGATTTAGAATCCATGCTAGAGCCGAAGCCTCCATTAAAACCACTGCCTGACCCTGCATTTGATGCTGATCCCCAACCAATTGCTGCACCTGAATTAGAACCACTGTAAGAGTTATTTCCAGAACCAAAAGCCTGATTTGGCTCCCTCTGCATGTTGCCTTGGCTTTGGTTATTACCTGATGGGCCAGACTGGTTCTGCTGACTGGCTAACATGCCCATCATACCCCAGCTGCTCTGCAGAGCAGCCTGGGCTGCAGCCATCATTGCTGGGTTAATGCTAAAAGCTCCAAAGTTCATCCCTCCACCCATATTACTACCCTGATTGTTTCCCAAACCTGCCCCACCCCCTCGACTGTTTCCAAATCCACCCTGATTCCCAAAGCCACCTGGATTACCACCAAATCTTCCACTTCTTTCTAACTGTCTATTGCTATTGTGCTTAGGTTCAGCATTGGATATATGTACGCTGATTCCTTTAATGATCAAGTCCTCTCCACAAAGAGACTGGGCAACCTATAAAAAATAAGGGATGTAAATAGAGGAGATTAAACCATTGATTCATACAAAGTAGCAATAAAACTTAGATTTCAAGCCATCATCTAGGCTGCAGAAAAAAAATCAGCAAGGAGCACTTTTCATTTAAACCCATAAAATAGCCTTTAGCTTTAGTAATGGCAGCAGGGATTTTTCCGTTCATTTTCAAAGGATGTGTAACACTCCCACTTAAATGTCACATATTAAAAAAATACCTAAGGGGTTTATCACAAATATTCAGGCCCAAATACAGGGTCAGAGAGCTTAGCTAATAAGGATGGTAATTAGCTGGAAGGGCAACGTTCAACAGAAATTACCTAACTAGCTGGGGCAAAGTTATTAAGAGAAAAATACCTGATCATCTGCAAACGTAACAAAGGCAAAAGCCCTGAACGGTTTGGGGATGAAGACATCTACCACTTCTCCATACTGGCAAAAGAACTGCCGCAGTTCATCAGCAGTCATGTCCTCTGTACAACGCCCAACAAACACCTTTCTGCTTCTCAAAGGCTCATCTGGGCTTTGCTGATCAAATCGAAAGGAAGAAAACCATCAGAAATATTTTACAAGCAATGAAAACAGCATTCTGGTGGAGGATTTAACACAATCTATCTGCCTTTTCTTTAGGGGAGTGCTTAAAAAGTAGCACTTCTTTCTTTTTTGTAGTGCAGCACATCTCCTTCTTGAAAGACTTCAATGCTTTAAATTTTAAAGCTGATGAAAGTATATTTGGATTAAGGAAAGGTGATGAATTAGAAATGTCCTGGCAAAGAGGATAATGTTCCAAATCAGCAAATCTTGCTTGCTTGGAATAAGTAAGGCTTTTGTAACGAGATCAACATATTCTAATTGTCTTTGTTAACACTAACGAGATCAATATATTCTGTCTTTGTTAACATGTAAGAAATTGCTAATTCATTAAAAATAACAAGAGAAAGAATAAAATGAATAACGTTTTATTTTGGAGGAGCAATAAACTAAGTATTTCAAACAAACATATAAAATATTCAGCATGCATTAAGGTCTTGAGACTTTTAACAAGATTTCAAGAACACACCCTGCCACATTTTCCAACTGTAATGTTTTATTTTACAGTGTCTTCTAAGTTTGTCACCACAAATGGCCAAAGCAGAGAAAACAAGAGCAAAGTACCTTAGAATTTGGAAGTTTACAGTCACACCATCGTCCATCTATCATATGTCGTTGTGACATTACTTTCACCTGGGTTTCATATTCCGTGAAACGAACAAAGCCAAACCCTTTTGAATGACCAGTTTTAATATCCTTCTTGACCTAGAAAAAAAATCCCTTAAATTCACTAAATCTACACACACACATAACCAACCCAGAGTACACACAGGAAGGGAAATAACATAGACCAAATTTCTTTTCGGCACCCATTATGCATACATATAATAAACATTAATATCACCTACTGATCATGAAACAAAACTGATCACTAAAAACAAAAGGAATTCTGGACGCTCATTCACCGAATAACTGTTACGTGAAATCAAAGCTTACCTGAACCATAAGAACTTCTCCAAAGGTACTGAAGTAATCTTTCAGATCCTGTTCAGTTGTTTTCCATGGGAGACCCAACACTATTAAATCAGACGTTTTCTGGACCGCTCTTTTCACTTTCACTGCTGATGAAGCATCTGTTTCATCCATTTTTCTTTTGTTATCTAAACCATATGAGCAGAAATCTTTTAGAACATTTAACACTTTAAACACTTCACCCCCTTCATGCAGAAATGAAAAAGAAAAACATTCTAAGAACAGTAAAACACTGGAAACTTCTGGTAAAGAGTGATGTTAGCTCTCGTGGACAGAATAAGGCTTGAATAAGCAGCTCGGTTGCTTTTCTGGAGCCAATCTGGGGCTCTTAACCTCTGGTTCTGTAACAGCTCAAGATTACAACTGTATGTTCTCCCGTCTCAAAAGATATCAAAAGTCCTTTATTTTCACTTTAAAATACATTAAGGAAGGAAAAAAAACAGGTTGAAAAACCATGATACTATCTTTGTGCCTATTAAATATATTTTCTCGATTATTTTAATGTCTATAATCTGACTACCAAAAAATCAGCAACTGTAATCTCCAATTATAGATTTTTAAGGCTGATTTCAGTTTTTCTGTTTCATGTCCAAACTTTCAACATCAAACTCATATTAACTTTATAATAAACAAACAGAAACTTAAGATTATTAAAAAAAAAACCAAAAACAGTATTTGGAAGGGTAGAGAAACTCAATGATTTTTGGACAAAAGACAGAACATTTTCTGGAGTAGCCTTATGTTCACAGCAAAATCGAGGAAAGCAGATTTCCCACATACCCTTCCCTCTACACACCCAGAGCCCCTTCCCATTATCAAAATCCCCTACCAGGGAGGTACATTTGTTACAACTATGAACCTACATCAATACATTACGATCTAAATGACATTTCAAGTTTGGGTAAGTATCTACAACCAATGGATCAAGAAACTGCATACTAAAAAAAAACAAGTTGATTCTAGTAAAATTTTTCTTGATACATGAAAAAATTTCTTGAGGCAACATCTTAACTACTGACCAAATAGTACACCTTTGTTGCAATATTAAGTTATAATAAAAGTAACACAGAGATCTATGAACCAGCACAAAGGACCTACTGATAAAAATGTACTCGGTCCCCTGGCACACTTCTAAATCTTCATACTTCCTTTTAGATTAAAACCGTCACTGATAAGACACAGTGAGAATAAGCCCAGATCTAAAACTATAATTAGGACTGAACTAATTCAAGATTTGGGCTATTACAACTGATGTTCATTTAAGGGGGGAAAAAAAAAGAAAGGAGTAAGATTGGCTGAATGAATGACGCAGCTTGCAAGGATTAAGACCAAACCAAAATATTGAGGCACTTCAGAAGACTATTTTCCACAGACTGATAGAACTGCAAAGCACTCTTCATTTCTTAAATTTGGCATTAGCTCAGCAAAATTAGTGCAGATAATTATTTAAACACATAGTTTTAAAAACAAGTTCTGTATTCCAATTTTCACTCATTTCGTGGTCTTCCAAAACTTGTCTGATAGTAACTTTTAAAGAAATACTTGGGCTGTAGGAGACGGTTCACCACGAAGAGACCATGATCTATTCTTTAGAACGAGATACAAACCTATACTTTAGCATCACTGCAAAACCAAATGGCAACAAACCTTTGGGATAGTTGACAACATACACCAGATTCCCCCAGCCAGCATCGGGGGCGTGCAGAATTCCTTCTACCAGACGAACACCTCTCATACACTGAGACACTGGATTCCGGTAGCGCAGCCCACATGCCCCTGGAAACTGGGCTGTAACCGTGGACAGCAGCACTGTCCCATCGTCTTCCGATGGTATTTCAATGGGCTCGTCATTCTCATCTTCTGTTACCCGAATATATTCAGACATCTTTGTTTCTCTTAAAGGGAAAAGAGATACAAATGACTTAACACCTGTGGTCAAAGTAACTTATCCCAGTTGATTTATACCACTACGTCACTGTTTGTGACTTCTAGAAAAATTCTCCGGTGTTTGGATTCTTACAGGTGTTGGTTATCCCCGAAAAACGAGGACGTAAAGGCAAGGATAGTTATTAGAATGTAATGCCTCGCTAGTTCATTAAGTATTTGATGAATGCCTACTATACATCAAGTGCTGCCACTGTGAAACTAGTCTCAGAAGGCATGCTAGTAGCACGGGGGAGCGGAGTAGGGAAAACAGGAGAAAGATCGCAAGCAAGTACTTATTTTATTACAATCGTGATAAATACTACTGGAATGTAGTCAGAGGGTGTTTGGGGAGAACCTAAGCTGGTTGAGGTGTGTGTGTGTGTGTACAGGGGTGTCAAAATGACTTCCCTAAGCAAGCGATGCAGAAGCTAAGTCTTGAGGACTGAATAGGAGCAGTGAGCCAGCCGAAGAGAACGGGGAAGTTCCTCCCTGTTCCAGGTTGTGGGGTGTCCAGAGGCTCTCCAAACTTGAGCCGCAAGGACGGCGGCGACGGCTCCTTCGCGACGCGGGCCGCCGCCTCCCAGAAGCCAGTGCGTGGCAACCAAGGGAGGAGTTTCTAAGCGCGGCCGGGGTGGGACCGCCGAGGCATCAGGCCCTAACTCCGTCCCGGTGCGAAAGTATGAAGGCACAGAGCAACGCCCGCGCCAGGGAGCCAGGTCAAACCGCTGCCTCGGGCTGCACGGCTGCGTGGGCCCAGTACCCCAGCTCAGGCGCCGGCTGCCAGCCCGCGCCAGGCCCTAACGTTGCTCCCACGCGAGTCCGCTCCGGCAGGACCAAGCAGGCCTGGTCTCACGATTCCCTTTCCGGGGCGGGGGCCGCCCCGTCGTGGGAGCCGAGGCACACAGGGCGTCCTTAGTGAGAAGCATCTGCAACTCACCCGCTAGGCCGTTGCTAGGAAGCCCGACAGGGAGACTGAAGCAGGGAGGAATCCAAGAGCAGCCCAGCTACCACTTCGCTCCCACAAAATGGCGCTAGGGCCACCTCCTCCCCCCTCCGGCCATCGTCCTCTCCCACCGGCTTCCCGTCCACAGGTTGGGGGGACCGCCGCACAGAGATATTGACCCTCTCCCCAGAGAGGCAGAACCCCCCTCCCCGCAGTCTGAGCACAGGCAGTGAACTTGAAGGCTATAAGGAGCCCAGCACCTAGGCAAGAAAGCCTAAAAATGAAAAAAATGTAGACGGGTAGACTTTTACCTCCCCCCACGTAGCGTAACAGATGGCTTCGCCCGACCAACCGCCGGCCCTGGGTCTCCGCCGGAGCTCGCGCACTTTTAAAATGCGCGAGACTAGCGCAGGGGCTGGGCTGGGCCGGCCCGGGAGGGGCGGGGCGAGGCGGGGCCGGACCCGGCTGGGCTCGGCGGGGCTGGGCGGGGCTGGGCGGCGCTGGGTGGGGCTGGACTGGGCGGGGCGAAGGTTCTTGGGTCATTCTGACCCTCGAGAGACTGGGAGAAGGCTGTTGAGCCCAAGCCAGTTTTAACCTAAAAAGCCTAGCCAGGTGCGTCCTCTCTTCTCCGGCAGTCAACCTCCACACCTGGAGAGAATAACTTTGTTCTAAATAATAGCAATCATAGCGCCTACTGTGTACTGCTGCTGCCAAGTTGCTTCAGTCGTGTCCGACTCTGTGCGACCCCGTAGACGGCAGCCCACCAGGCTCCCCCGTCCCTGGGATTCTCCAGGCAAGAACACTAGAGTGGGTTGCCATTTCCTTCTCCAATACATGAAAGTGAAAAGTGAAAGGGAAGTTGCTCAGTCGTGTCCGATTCTTAGCGACCCCATGGACTGCAGCCTACTAGGCTCCTCCATCCATGGAATTTTCCAGGCAAGAGTACTGGAGTGGGGTGCCATTGCCTTCTCCAAAGTAACACTACCAGGTAGTAAATGGTGAACCTGATGTCTGACCAGTAACTTTAATGCTAATATATTCCAGGTACTGTTGAAGCCTCGCTTGGAGAATTTTGAGCATTACTTTGCTAACATGTGAGATGAATGCAATTGTGCAGTAGTTTGAATGTGCTTTGGCATTGCCTTTCTTTGGGATTGGAATGAAAACTGACCTTTTCCGGTCCTGTGGCCACTGCCGAGTTTTCCAAATTTGCTGACATATTGAGTGCAGCACTTTACCAGCATCATCTTTTAGGATTTGAAATAGCTCAACTGGAATTCCATCACCTCCACTCGCTTTGATCCTAGTGATGCTTTCTAAGGCCCACTTGACCTCGCACTCCAGGATGTCTGGCTCTAGGTGAGTGATCACACCATCGTGGTTATCTGGGTCTTGAAGATTTTTGTATAGTTCTTCTGTGTATTCTTGCCACCTCTTCTTAATATCTTCTGCTTCTGCTTCTGTTAGGTCCCTATCATTTCTGTCCTTTATTTTGCCCATCTTTGCATGAAATGTTCCATTGGTATCTCTAATTTTCTTGATGAGATCTCTAGTCTTTCCCATTCTGTTGTTTCCCTCTATTCCTTTACATTGATCACCGAGGAAGACTTTCTTATCTCTCCTCGCTTTTCTTTGGAACTCTGCATTTAGGTGGGTATGACTTTCCTTTTCTCCTTTGCCTTTCACTTCTCTTCTTTCCTCAGCTATTTGTAAGGCCTCCACAGACAACCATTTTGCCTTTTTGCATTTCTTTTTCTTGGGGATGGTTTAGATCACTGCCTCCTGTACAATGTTACAAACCTCCATCCATAGTTCTTCCAGCACTCTATCAGATCTAATCCCTTGAATATGTTTGTTACTTCCACTGTATACTCATAAGGGATTTGATTTAGGTCATACCTGAATGGTCTAGTGGTTTTCCCTACTTTCTTCAATTTAAGTCTGAATTTTGCAATAAGGAGTTTATGAGCTGAGCCACAGTCAACTCCCCATCTTGTTTTTGCTGACTGTATAGAACTTCTCCATCTTTGGCTGCAAGGAATATAATCAATTTGATTTCAATATTGACCATCTGGTGATGTCCATGTGTAGAGTCATCTCATGTGTTTTTGAAAGAGGATGTTTTCTATGACCAGTGCATTCTCTTGACAAAACTCTGTTAGCTTTTGCCCTGCTTCATTTTGTATTCCAAGGCCAAACTTGCTTATTACTCTAGGTAGCTCTTGGCTTCCTACTTTTGTATTCCAATCACATATAATGAAAAGGACATCTTTTTTGGGTGTTAGTTGTAGAAGGTGCTGTAGGTCATCATAGAACCATTCAATTTCAGCTTCTTTGGCATTAGTGGTTGGGGCATAGACTTGGATTACTGTGATATTGAATAGTTTGCCTTGGAAATGAACAGAGATCATTCTGTCATTTTTGAGATTGCATCCAAGTACTGCATTTTGGACTCTTTTTTTGACTGTGAGGGCTACTCCATTTCTTCTAAGGGATTCTTGCCCACAGTAGTAGATATAATGGTCATTTGAAATAAATTTGTCTATTCTGGTCCATTTTAGTTCACTGATTCCTAAAATGTCAATATTCACTCTTGCCATCTCCTGTTTGATCACTGCCAATTTACCTTGATTCATGGACCTAACATTCCAGGTTCCTATGCAATGTTGTTCTTTACAGCATCTGACTTTACTTCCATCACCAGTCACATCCAAAACTGGGCATTGTTTTTGTTTTGGCTCAGCTTTTTCATTCTTTCTGGAGTTATTTCTCCACTCTTCTCCAGTAGCATATTGGGCACCTACCCAGCTGGGGTGTTCATCTTTCAGTGTCATATCTTTTTGCATTTTCATACTGTTCATGGAATTCTCAAGGCAAGAATACTGAAGTGGCTTGCCATTTCCTGCCCCAGTGCACCACGTTTTGTCAGAATTCTCCACCATGACCTGTCCATCTTGGGTGGATCTACATGGTATGGCTCATAGTTTCATTGAATTAGACAAGGCTGTGATCCTTCTGATCAGTTTGGTTAGTTTTCTGTGATTGTGATTTTCATTCTGTCTGCCCTCTGATGGAAGGATAAGAGGCTTGTGGAAGCTTCCTGATGGAAGGCACTGGCCGTGGGGTCTTGCTCTGATGGGCCATGCTCAGTAAATCTTTAATCCGATTTTCTGTTGATGGGTGGGGCTGTGTTCCATCCCTGTAGTTTGGCCTAAGGCCAAACTATGGCAAGGGTAATGGTAGCAATGGCAACCTCCTTCAAAAGGACTTACATGCTGCGGCATGCTGTTATATTCAGTGCCTCTGACCCCAGGGCAGGCCACTGTCAACCCACACCTCCTCCAGAGAGTTCATGGACGCGCACAGGTAAGTCTGGTTCAGTCTCTTTTGGGGTCATTGCTCCTTTCTCCTGGATCGTGGTTTGCACAATGTTTTGTCTGTGCCCTCCAAGAGTCTGTTTCCCCAGTCCTGTGGAAGTTCTGTAATCATATTCCACTGGCCTTCAAAGTCAAATTCCCTGGGGAGTTCTCAGTCGTTTTGCCAGATCCCCAGGTTGGGAAATCTGCTGTGGGCCCTAGAATTTTCACAACAGTGCAAGAACGTCTTTAGTATAATTGTTCTCCAGTCTGTGAGTTGTCTGCTTGGTGGTTGTATGGTGGGGCTAATGGCAACCTCCTCCGAGAGGACTTATGCCACACACTGTGCCTCCCAGGTCTGCTGCAGCCAGAGCCCCTGTCCCTGCAGCAGGCCACTGCTGACCCATACCTCCTCAGGAGACACTCAAACACTCAAAGGCAGGTCTGGCTCAGTCTCTTGTGGGGTCCCTAGGACCTGGTGTGCACAAGGTTTTGTTTGAGCCCTCCAAGTGTCTCTGGTGGGTATGGGGTTTGATTCTAAACACAGTTTTGCCCCTTCTACTGTCTTGTTGGGGCTTCTCCTTTGCCCTTGGATGTGGGGTATCTTTTTTTGGTGGGATCTAACTTTCTCCTGTCAATGGTTGTTCAGCAGTTAGCTGCAATTTTGGAGTTCTTACAGGAGAAGAGGACTGCATGTCCTTCTACTCCACCATCTTGAAAGGACAACAGACTGGTTCCAACTTGGGAAAGAAGTACATCAAGGCTATGCATTGTCACCCTTCTTATTTAACTGATATGCACAGTGTATCATGTGAAATGCCAGGCTGGATGCAGCACAAGCTGGATTCAAGATTGCTGGGAGAAATATCAATAACCTCAGATATGGAGATGACACCACCCTTATGGCAGAAAGCAAAGAGGAAATAAAGAGCCTCTTGATGAAGGTGAAAAAAGGAGAGCAAAAAAAGATGGCTTAAAACTCAGCATTCAAAAAAGTAAGATCATGGCATCCAGTCCCATCACTTCATGGCAAATAGATGGGGAAACAATGGAAACAGTGACAGACTTTATTTTCTTGGGCTCCAAAATCATTGTGGATGGTGACTGCAGCCATGAAATTAAAAGATGCTTATTCCTTGGAAGAAAAGCTATTACCAACCTAGACAGCATATTTAAAAATTAGAGACATAACTTGGCCAACAAAGGTGCATCTAGTCAAAGCTATGGTTTTTCCAGTAGTCATGTATAGATGTGAGTTGTACCACAAAGAATGCTGGTTGCTGAAGAATTGATGCTTTTTTTTTTTCTCTTTTAACATGATTTTTATTTGCCATCTTTGATTAAAAACGGAAATACTCTCACACTGTAAGCATACAACAGTGTGGGTGAGATGCTGCTGCTGCTGCTAAGTCGCTTCAGTCGTGTCTGACCCTGTGCGACCCCATAGATGGCAGCCCACCAAGGCTCCCCTGTTCCTGGGATTCTCCAGGCAAGAACACTGGAATGGGTTGCCATTTCCTTCTCCAAGAATTGATGCTTTTGAACTGTGGTGTTGGAGAAGACTCTTGAGAGTCCCTTGGACTGCAAGATCAAACCAGTCCATCCTAAAGGAAATCAGTCCTGAATATTCATTGGAAGGACTGATGCTGAAGCTGAGCTCCAACACTTTGGCCACCTGATGCAAAGAACTGACTCATTGGAAAAGACCCTGATGCTAGGAAAGATTAAGGACAGGAGGAGAGGGATGACAGAGGATAAGAAGGTTGGATGGCATCACCGACTCAATGGATATGAGTTTGAGCAAGCTCCAGGAATTGGTGATGGACAGAGAAACCTGGCCTGCTGCAGTCCATGGGATTGCAAAGAGTTGGACATGACTGAGTGACTGAACTGAACTGAATTAAACATGTTCCAGCTATGTATACTAATAACAATGGTGTATTTCATCTAGCAATATTTTTTTAGCATAGCTTTTATTTATTTTTTGCATATACCTGTATCCATTCTCCCCAAATCCCCCTCCCACCCAGGCTGGCACGTAGCATTGAGCAGAGTTCCATGAGCTATACAATAGGTCTTTGTTGGTTATCCATTTTAAATATAACAGTGTGTACATGACCTTCCCAGAGTCCCTAACTGTCCCTTGCTCCTGGCAACCATAAGTTCATTTTCTAAGTCTGTGAGTCTTTTTCTGTTTTTAAGTTGTTGTTGTTCAGTTGCTAAATCACGTCTGACTCTTTGGGACCCCGTGGACTGCAGCAAGTCAGGCTTCCCTGTCCTTCACCATCTCCCAGAGTGTGCTTAAACTCATGTCCATTGAGTTGGTGGAGCCATCCAACTATCTTATCCTCTGTCATCTCCTTCTCCTGCCTTCAATCTTTCATAGCATTAGGGTCTTTTCCAATCAGTCACTTTTTCGAATCAGGTGGCCAAAGTATTGGAGTTTCAGCTTCAGCATCAATCCTGCCAATGAATATTCAGTACTGATTTCCTTTGGGGTTAACTGGTTTGACCTCCTTGCTATCCAACGGCCTCTCAAGAGTCTTCTTCAGCACCACAGTTGGAAAGCATCAGTTCTTTGGCATTCGTCCTTCTGTATGGTCCAACTCTTACATCCATACTTGACTACTGGAAAAATCATAGCTTTGACTATACGAACCTTTGTCAGCAAAGTGATGCCTCTGCTTTTTAATATGCTGTCCATGTTTGTCATAGCTTTTCTTTTTTGTTAGTAAGTTTATTTATATCATTTCTTTTTAGATTCCACATATAAGGATGTCATATTTAAGATGTTATTTTGTTTCACATTTCTAATATCAATATGTAGTTCCAGTTCCACTGATAATATGTCTTAGTTTAATTGGCAATACACTTAATTTCCTAGTGTACCATTGTATTAGATTCAATGAAATGCAATACTAACAGAGCACTCTGTAATTATGTGTCAATGAATCTAATCCTCAGAATAACCCTACAGAGGAGCTGCTGTTGTTATTGTTCCTGTTTTATGGAGAAAGAAATGGCAACCCACTCCAGTACTCTTGCCAGGAAAATCCCATGGATGGAGAAGCCTGGGAGGCTAGTCAGTGGGGGTCACAAAGAGTTGGACACGACTGAGCAACTTCACGCTATTGGTGAGGAAGCTGGAGCACAGAGGTTCACAGGGCAGGTACATGGTGGAGTTGGGATTTGAACCCAGGCTGCCTGGCTCTGGAGTGGGTGCCTCCTGCTTTTTATGGCCTCCTAGGGAAGAAATATTATCCTGCACATTCATCTCTGATACCTGTTGTTGATATTGACCAGATTATACCTGAACCAACTTGGAGAGGTGCTGAATGCTGAAGAATTGATGCTTTTGAATTGTGGTGCTGGAGAAGACTCTTGAGAGTCCCTTGGACTGCAGGGAGATCAAACCAGTCAATCCTAAGGGAAATCAACCCTGAATATTCATTAGAAGGACTGATGCTGAAGCTGAAGCTCCAATACTTGGGCCATGTGATACGAAGAGCTGACTCATTGGAAAAGACTTTGATGCTGGGAAAGATTGAGGGCAGAAGGAGAAGAGGGTGACAGAGGATGAGATGGCTGGATGGCATCAGTGACTCAATAGACATGAATCGGAGCAAACTCTGAAGGGATAGTGGAGGACAGAGGAGCCTGTCATGCTGCAGTTCATGGGATGGCAAAGATTCAGACCTGCTCAGCGACTCAACAACAACAAAACTTGGAGAGATAGGAAGGAAGGAGTGAAGACAGTAAGAATGAGTGATTTACCACTCCCCCACCCCCCGCCCAGGGATAGCTCGGCAAACAGGAGGCAAAACTGGACAGAACGCCCCTGATGGTCACTAAGGTTTCCAAACACTGGATGAAGCACAGAGGCCTGGTCATCACGATCCACCCAGTCATTCTGGAGGAGTAGTCAGTTTTCTGAAACAATTTATTCTGACCGTGCTAGGTCTCTGTTGCTGTGCACAGGCTTCTCCCTAGTTGCGGCCGGCAGGGGCTACACTCTAGTCGTGTTGTGTGCGGGCTTCTCACGGTGGTGGCTTCTCTTATTGCGGAGCACAGGCTCCAGATCTCGGGGGCTTTGTTGCCCCGTGGCATGTGGACTCTTCCTGGACCAGGGATCAAACCCATGTCCCCCGCATTGGCAGGCAGATTCTTAATCACTGCACTATCAGGGAAGCCCAAGCAGTCAGTTTTATTGCCTCCATTTTGTGCTTTTTTGATGGGATCTTAGTTCCTCAACCAGGAATTGAACCCATTCCTGCTGCAGTGGGAGGTCAGACTGCTAACCCCTGGACTGCTGGGGAGTTCCCACTTCCGTCATTTTGCAGCAGAAGGAACTGAAGCTCAGAATCTGTATAAATTGTGTGAGAACGTCACCCCGCCCATAAGTCACTGTCCAGGGTTTGTCAGATCTTGAAGCTGTGCTCCATCCATCTCCCTGGCCCACGCTCTCTGGCAAGATTGAGGCCGAGGCACTGGGTGTAGGCGGCTCCTTCGGGCCTGGGATGCTTGCTGCAAGTGAGGGCAGAGCTGAGTGTGCAGAAACGGGAGAAAGTTCACAGAGGGACAAAACCACAACATCTGTCCCTTCCCCCAGAAGTTTTCAGGCTGGTTGGGAAGACCAGCAAACACAATCTTGAAGAAGGTAAATAACTCCTTGAGGAAGAGAATTGATAAGGCCAGAGGGAGGCAGGCCTGCCATTCCTAGCCAAGTTCATCTCTGAGTTTCAACCTGAAACGGTACTTTTGAAACAGGTCAAAAGTTCTGTTTGTTTACACCTGAAACTAACACAGCATTGTAAGTCAACTATACTTCAATTTAAAAGAAAAGTTCTGCTGGTGGGTGGGAGGGATTGGGGCATTGGGATTGACATATTTACACTATTGATACTTAGTTATGTTTAAAATAGATAACTAGTGAGAATCTACTGTGTAGCACAGGGAATTCTTAGTATACTGTGGTGACCTGAATGGTAAGGATGTCCAAAAGGGAGGGATATATGTACAGGTATGAAAAAAAGTGGAAGTGTTAGTTTCTCAGTGTCCAACTTGTTGTGACTCCATGGATTGTATACATACGGCTGATTCATCATGCTTAACAGTAGAAAGGAACACAACATTGTTAAAGCAACTACATTGTTTAGCTGCTAAGTCATGTGTTACTTTTTTGCGACCACATGGACTGTAGCCCACCAGGCTTCTCTGTCCATGGGATTTCCCAGGCAAGAATACTGGAGTGTGTTGCCATTCCCTACTCCAGGGGATCTTCCTGACCCAAGGATCAAACTCCACTCTTCTGCATCTCCTGCATTGACAGGTCAGTTTTTTACCATTGAGCCACCGGAGAAGCCCTAAAGCAACGATACTAAAAAAAAAAAAAAAATTTTTTTTAAAAGGGGAAAAAAAAGTTCTACTTATTTAAATGTGCTTTATAAATTATCTTGGTTTGTTTGCTTGTATGTTCATATCCCTTATACATTAAGCCCAAAGATGGTTAGATAGCCCGAAAGTATCTGTTCTTACCCATATCCTATCTTCTGAGTATTTATTTATTAAATGCTTTCTGAAAATAATGGATCAGAAAAGATTTTCTGAGCTCTTGGGCCTTATGCTCTTCTGCCTTTAGCACTGTGCTGAAACTATAGTGTAAAAACATACAACCCAGTCATAGCCTGGATGAAGTGGTCTAATCCAGGCAGGGGTGGCAACAGAATAATTAGAAAACATTCCTAGAATATAAAGCATGTGGGTGCCAGTGCTGGGCAGATGCTGAGAGCTTAAGGGGTTCTACAATATCTTTTTCGGGGGTCTGGCTTCCAGCATAAGGATGAGGCAATTCAACTGGAAAGAAAGGATACTGGCCGAGAACCAGAATGTCTGGGAACAGACTTCATTTTACAGCTCAGTCACTTGGC